TTTGGTGACAAATCACAAAAACTTCATGCTGATCCGAAGGTAGACTTGAGTGCGAATGAATCCAAGCTTTAAGTTCTTCTAAACTTATGGTCGACTGGCGGTTTACAGTACGACGTCGATCGCTTAAATAATTTCTTAACTGAGACATTTTAGGAACTCGAATATTCTCCATTCTTGCGAGACTGTGCATTATTGCTTTTGGTTTCATTTTTAAATCAAACAGTCGACTAATTTCGATCTTTACAGTGTCACTCAAACCATGCGTCGAGGCAAACTCCTTTTTCCCATCGTGATCATGAGCAGCATTAGTTTTAAACAATAACACAGAATCTGAAGTGCTTTCGAATAACAAATACATTTTTGCGGAACATTGTGGACCACGTTTCTTCACCTTGTTGCATCTATAGTATTTCTTATTTCCCTCTTCTGTTTTCTGGGAATAATGTAGTGCCCAAGTACCCTCGGTTTTCACGTATGTTTCAGCCTGTTCACAGTTATCAAACTTCTGAACTAAACTCCAGTCCAAATACACCTTTTTTTTCTTCTTAACCACTAATTCTTCATTATCACTGCTGCGCTCCACGTCAGATTTGTATTCTGGAACGGATCATACGCATATCGTCAGATACGCAGGTGGTCACAGAATGCATTTCGTTAGACTACAAAACAGCAAATCGACTAGGCAAATACGCAGTTAGTCAGACATGCAACGCAACTGCTATGCATCTCGTCAGACACGCAACTGATACGCATATCGTCCGATATTTGTTGAAGCGGGGATTTTTGAATTTACTCGAGCGCGGCGGAATAACTTAAGGGGGGCAACTTGGCACCTTGTAAGTACTCCCATCATACCTGAGCCCTCTATGTAAGGCCGAAAGTCTAGGGCCATATACAGAAAGAAAGCTGGAAGTCGACCAGCGCTTATCAGCGCTTGTCAGCGCTGGTAACAGTTACATAAAGGAAGCAGATTGAAGCCTAGTTGTTCAATACAATACACAATACTTTATTGAAAACACCACAACACAGAACAGAAATGAGGGACAATACAATTGTAAAAAAAAGAGTGCTTCAATGGGCGGTCTTATCGCTAAAAGCGATTTCTTCCAGACAACCTTTGGATGGAGAGGATTGAAAGAAAACTGGAGTCGGCGGTGTCAGTAAAAGGAACAAGGGATTTAAACGAATTTGTGAATTAAGTATATATACATACATAAATACACATCATATATACATATTATATACCTATATATATTACATATATATACATAGACTACACATATATAGGTTTAGTCCAGTCAACAGAGATAAAAATGCACCTACATCGACAAATAGTGATTCACAACAAGATTTTTAAAGACATTAATAGATTGTGCTCGTCTTATGGATACTGGAAGAGAATTCCATAGGCGTATAGCTTGGACGGTAAAAGAACGACCATAGAAGGTCGTGTCATGGGTAGGAATTTTTAGGGTTAAATTTTCTGATGACCTAAGAGATAACGCATTCGAATTATTCATACTGTTCATTAATTTCAAAGAGCGGTGCTGGCTGACCAGCGCGTGACGGCGCTTATCGGCGCTGGTCCATAGAAATGCTTGCGCCGGTTACCAGTAAGGACCAGCGCTGGTCGGCTTCCAGCTTTCTTTCTGTATACGGCCTAGGGCAACAAAAAGAAACGACCATGTCTTTTGGTCGCGTCCATATCGTCATTCTTTTGAATAGAAGCTCCTGGACGGTTCATAAGCTGCTGATGATGGAAAAAATATTGATCTGCCTGTTTGTAAGGTGTGGAGGTAGCCGTACGAAAGGGAGAATATAGGGGGAAAAAATTGAAGCGCGTCAGATGTTGATGGCTCAATTACATTTGGTCGTTAGCCGTGGAACCCTGGAACCTTACTTACCGACAAACACCACTAAAAAGGTAGTGTTATATAACTGTGGTCCTCCGTGTTAAAAATCCGCTGTGACATACCTCTCTTAAATATACAAAAATATCGTTTAGCGCCATCTATCTTATCATTATAGTATTAAATGCAAAAACGCATATCAATATGTCTACTCGCGTATAGGGTTACCATCCGTCCGGATTAGTGCGGACATGTCCGGTCTTTAAAACTATAGTCCGGACTTTATCCACATCTCTAAATTGTCCAGTTTTTTAAAATTACATTGAATATGAATAATAAATGTACTTACATATTGATTTAAATATTATATACCATACCATTGTAACTAAGTGAGTGATGGTACCATTTTGTGACTTAAAGTCCGGAGTTTTTTCCAATGTCAGGATTTTTGTCAGGACTTTTGAAATTCCTAAATGGTAACCCTACTCGCGTAGTAAAAGTTAAACAGCGCCATGTACAAAATTGGCAACATAACAATCCTAATTCACTTTCTATTTATAGGAGTTAAAAAAAACTAATTTGCACACTTAATAACTAATTATGAACAACCAAATTTTGTAGCAAAACGGATGGCGCAATAAAAAGTTTCATACAAATCTCATCCTCATGCGATCCTAAAAGGGCTGAAAATTGGAGTGTGGAAGTCTGTATGCAAAACTAATTTTTCCATGAAGACGTCATTAGCTTATTAATGTCCCCACTGCTGGGGCACAGGCCTTCTCTATGGATAGAATTGGGATATTGGGTCGTGACCCACCACTCAGGGCAAAAAATCGCACCTCCGCGAAAATAACTTTCAAGCGTTATTAACCCTTAACATGTGCATGTACGCCCACCAATATGAGTATCATATGAAAGCCCATTAAAACCTTTAAAAATAACCCAGAAGAGTATACCAGCGGCTCCAGAAAACCGATGGCCATGTCCGGAGGCATGTGTTTGGTAGACGTCGTTACATCTTGGAGAGAGACGACCGATTCATCATATCGACATCTCTAAAAAATCGGTCCTCTAACGCTGTTGAGTTGCAACAGCAACTCCAGGCAGCTCGCAGTATAACCGTGAACGTTTCTACGGTTAGACGAAGACTGAGGGAGAAGAAGATAGCGGCTCATAGATCTGCTAAGAGTCCAAAATTGACCGCATGTCGCGACCACGTCAATCGGACCCTTGACCAATGGAGAGCTGTTCTGTTATCAGACGAGACGGGAGTGTGCCTTTTCTGCAACGATAGACGCAGTAGGGTGTACAGAACACTAGAAGAAGACAGAGGGAACGTTTCGCCCAAGTCTGCATCCAGGAGACGGTGGAATACGGGGGCGGTTCCTGTACGGTGTTTTGGGGCGGCACGTCGGCTGACGGTAAAACCGGCCTTGTAAGCGCCTCACGGACTGGAGGAGTTCGCGAGCAAGGGTTGCTGTTTGCTCACCGGTACGTCACAGAGATCCTGGAAGAGCATGTGGTCCCCTATGCCGGTTTTGTTGGCGAGGGGTTCACATTAATGCACGCTAATGCTTGCGCTCACACTGCATAATTGTGCGCGACTACCTGAGGAGTTTGGGATCTGTCATGCAGTGGCCAGCGAGAAGTCCAGACCTGAACCCGAAAGATCACCCCTCTGGGAACATTTGAAACGCCAGGTTCGGTCTCGTAATCCCGCTCCCACGACTCTCCAAGAGCTCGAAGAGGCCGTTATTGAAGAATGGGCCAGTATTCCTCAAGAAAAGCTCCTAAAATTGGTAAGATCCATGAGGGAGCGTATGGAAGCCGTCATCCGGGCAAAGGGGGGTAACACTAGGTTCTAGGTTAGTTTTAACTCTTTTTTTTTTGTGTAATTAACCTGTTTTTTTTTTATTAAGATTTTTATTGTTTTGTAAACTTTATTTGTTTTTGTAATGTTCCAATAAAAAATATAAATTACTTGAATAGTTTTTTTTAGTTTATTTTTAATGGGCTTTCTAATGACACCAATATTGGTGGAGGTAAATGCACGTGTTAAGGGTTATAATAACGCTTAAAAGTTATTTTCGCAAAGATGCGTTTTTTTTAACGCCGAGTGTATTAAAATTTTCGTATGTCGTCTGAAAATTTTACAGTAAGTTTCCCCTCTTGCAAAATTTAGATGGAAACTTACTGTAAAACTTTCAGAAGTGGCTTTAAATAAAATTCATTCAGAGATCAACATTGGTGTCGATTCTGGAATGATTCTCTAAACTTAAAACTAAATTTAACATCAGTCTCTCCTTTTCATTCTGTATAGAGAATGACAAAGATACACTGTTGTCAAATTTCAGTTTAGGTTTAGAGATTCATGACAGAATCGACACCATAATTTAAATAAAAATATATTATTGTGTTCATTTTCATCGTGTGCCATTTGGCGAAGATCTCCTGATCTACAATAATTTCCACTCTTTCCTCTCCCTAGCAAGCCTGGTCCAAGTTTTCCCCTGTAACTGAACTATGTCGTTCTCCCATCTCTTCAAGTGTTTCCCTTTTCACTTCTTACCCTCTCTTGGGTACCATAAGATTTCTTTTTATCAATTCTAGTTCCTCTGACTCAAGTCAGAGAACTCATAATATCATAAGGTTACTGACTTGCTGGTGACCCACCCACTAGTAACAAATAAACAAATGCGAGTACTCATCATTAGGTTACTGACTTGGTGGTCACCACCCACTAGTAATAAATAAACAAATGTGAGTACTCGTCATAAGATAACGGACTTGCTGGTCTACCCACTAGTAATAAATAAACAAATGTGAGTACTCATCATAAAGTTACTGACTTGCTGGTCACCACCCACTAGTAATAAACAATTGCGAGTACTCATCATTAGGTTACTGACTTGCTGGTCTACCCACTAGTAATAAATAAACAAATGTGAGTACTCATCATAAGATAACTGACTTGCTGGTCTACCCACTAGTAATAAATAAACAAATTGAGTACTCATCATAAGGTTACTGACTTGCTGGTCACCCACCCACTAGTAACAAATAAACAAATTGAGTACTCATCATAAGGTTACTGACTTTCTGGTCACCTACCCACTAGTAACAAATAAACAAATGCGAATGAATACTCACGATCGTCGTCATCGTCGTCGTCGAAGCCGGTTCTGTCGTCGAAGTCGTCATCGTCACTGGCCATCTTCTCGACCTTCACCTGCTCCACTTTCACTTGGGAATCCAGCTGATCGATGGGAACTGAATGGAAACAAATAAATAATATATTTACATAAGATTTAACAAAAGATGCAGAAACATAACTTTTACTTTGTAGTGAAATAAAAAATGAGCTTAATCATTGAGATATTTTTATTTTTTAAGTATTTAACTGCTAGATGTTTAAATCTAAAGAAAATTTTACTAGAAAAAATCCACGTGAATCAGGCAGCAGACGGGACTCGAACCCGCACCCTCTGCTATCTGGGCGGATGTACTGACCATTATGCTACCGCGGCCCTGATGCCCGTGTCGAAATTTCTCTAGTATTTCTTAGACTGTAAGGCAGCGCCATTTCTACACATTGTAGGTAACCCACAATGAAGATTTATTATTATTATAATTATAAATGATACTCTGCTGAGCTGATGGGTTGTCATAAATACTTAAGGCCACATGTAAATAAATTTGAAGTGTGGTTAGTGCTTTTCATTCAATTTATAAATTATTTACCTTCTGTCTCCGAAATGGAAGACACACCAGGGTCGAGGTACTGAGTGAAGGTCTTCTCGCACTCCTGCACTTGCCTCTTGAAGTCGGTGGCGTCCCGCAGCCTGGAGATGCATGGTTCGCATATCAGACGACTGTTGCTATTCGGCCCACCCGATTGCGAATAGGAGATCTGTTAGGAGAGGAGGAATACAAGCGTTATCATCATGTTTTTTTTTTGTTATATTTATTAGTTCACAAAGGCTTTGTTATCATCAGCATCATCATCATCAGCCTATTAATGTCCCCACTGCTGGGGCACAGGCCTTCCCTAAGGATGGAATAGGGAGATTGGGCCATGACCCACCACGCGGCCCCAGTGCGGATTGGCGGATGCTAACAACTGCAGATGCAGCCGGGACCAACAGCTTAACGTGCCTTCCGAAGCACGGAGGAACTTGAGATAGCAGATTTTTGGTCACCCATCCAATGACCGACCACTGCTGCAAATGTGCCTGCTGCAAGAACACAGCCTTCTCTACGAATGGAATAGGGAGACTAGGCCATGACCCACCACACAGGCCCAGTAGGGATTGGTGGGTGCTAATAAGTATTTGGTGACCTGAACATTTAAGCCTAACAAAAGCTAGACAAGCCAGACACCTGGCAGCGCTACACCCATCCAATGACTGATCACGCACTAATTGCTTTCGCCATCCTCCCTCCCCCTCATATCACACTAATATTATAAAGGCGAAAGTTTGTGAGTATGTGAGTGTGTATGTTTGTTACTTCTTCACGTCTAAACGGCTAGAGCGATTTTAATAAAATTTGGTATGGGGTTAGCTGACACCCTAGATTAACACATAGGCTACTTTTCCAGTTCCAATCCAGAGGGATTTTCAAGAAGCTAAGTTAACGCAGACGAAGTCGCGGGCGACCTCTAGTTATGAATAACAATATTATAAATAAATAAATTAATTAAATTTTGTATGTAAATTTTGGGTAAACTAATTACACAAATTACAAAAATTCTTTGACATTTAGAAAATAGTGATCAGAGAAATCATGGAGACCATAAATTAACTGGATGTTTAATCAAAAAGTCCAAGTGGTAAATGTATTGTTCTTTCTATCATCACCTATCAATTTCTATAATTATGTATGGGTCAGAGCCTTGAGGGCAGTTCAAGTATATGCTTAGCATTCACTAAAGCTAGTGTTGCGAAGTGTCTGGATAAAGACATAGGTTTTTTGATTGCGGCTGGACACGCAATAAAGTGTCGGGCTTGTCCAGCTTTTGTTAGGATTATTATTTCACAAACTCTGAGAGTGGCCAGAGCGGAGTTCACTGTCAGTCATTTTTGCAAACAATATATTACTGAGCCAAAAAATCCTCACTAATATAGGGTGTCCAGCCTTTACACTCAAATGTCCAGCCAAACTGACTGGTCTGTCTAGCAACAAGGGAAACCCTACGTATAGCAGAGCATTTCAAGAAGTCTAAAAATGCTTAAGATTTTTTTTATACTTCATTTTTTAATAGATAAAATGCATTCTAGGAAAATAGTTTTTATTGCCTGAATTGTTGCTATTAATGGCCTTTATCCGAAAACCGCAAAAAAGGACAAAGTCGTTGTTGAATAGTAATTAGGTCTCAGGAATAACTTATAATTTATCATAAGAAAATTTTGTACTTTCAATTAATTGAAACAAGTTTCTCATAAATGTTTATCAGAAGAAATTAATCCTAGATTTATCCCAAAATCATAACGTGCTAAACTAATAGACATACAAAACAATGTTCATTCAAATCAACTCATGTTACAGACTTAGCATCAATGAAGTTTTTATTGAAGATGGCGAACTATGCAGTGGTGCCAGTAAACTATTGATTTTTACAACCCGACCACTTCAAGAAGCATGTCATTGCGCGGATAACAAAGAGCGCTGCGTGTCTTCACAATTCGGTCAGGGTAAACCCATTATACCAGAAAATGGACGCCACTTGAAAAACAATAAAGAAAAACAGTACTCACAGTAAGATTGAATGAATTCAGAAGCATTTCCGCATACACTTCTCTCTTGCCCATCCAAAAATATTCAGTGGATATATCTTTGTAACATCCTTCGGAGAGGCAGCAACGGCAGACCGTAGGGCCGGGCCTCCAATCGGTTGATTTAGTTGCCATTGTCACAGCTATGATGCTAATTCTATATTAATTACAATTATCATACTATTTCTAACTAATTCACTAAAACTATATAGCAAGAACGATGTCTTGATAAGTATTTAATTTTACACATCACAGAAACAAAAACGTTCGCCGAACGGACGCCATCAAGAAAGCGGTGCCAAGCGGACAAGCGGTGCGTTTTAGTAGGGATGGCGATCGATTAGCGGCATTCATTACCAAGAACCGATTTTATGTATCGATTAACCTGGATGCGATATTCCCCGCATAAAAGCATATAATATTATTAAAGACTAGAGCATATACCAATGGAGATAGCATAGGCGGGCGATCCCCTTTCGCCAAAGTACGTAGCCACTCTGACATATGAAAACCTAACAAACAAATACATAGTTTCTTTGATATGTAGTATCGTATTCTATTGTAATCTACAAAAGCAGTACCTATTCATCTGGGATGATTAGAGCACGTGGCCACTCTGACATATGAAAACCTAACAAACAAATACATAGTTTCTTTGATATGTAGTATCGTATTCTATTGTAATCTACAAAAGTAGTACCTATTCATCTAGGATGCTTAGAGCATATACCACTGGAGAGTGTGTTTATAGCAACAACACGCTCATATTTGTGGGAGTATTGCATATTTTCGTTAGTGTGCTATACGTGTGAACCTCGTCTTCCACTAAAAATGGCGAAAATTTCTGTAAGGCGAGTGAACGGTATGTATGGTATCTCTATTGGTATATGCTGTAAGTGCTACCTTTCCATGTTTTTGTTAAAAAATGTTAATGGGCATTCACGCCAGTAGGCGACCCTCCACTTTTTTAAATGTCCCACGATTTTACATGGCATTTAGTGAAAATCTGTACAGCATATTATCTGAGAATATTTCAAGCATCTATCTGTTTTCGTTATTAATATCGAGTAAAAAAAATGACAAGAAAAACTCGCGTCTGTTGTATCGAAGCCCCCCCCCCACCCCCCCTTCCATAAATATTAATTTCATATTGTTAAGTTATATTCTTATTATCCTTTGGGTACGGATCCCTTACAAAATGAAACGAAACTTAGGTGAACACGACGAAGACCTCGTCTTTACAAAAAGGAGTTGACTCCTTCTTTTTAAAAAGTCTTTTTACTAAGAAGTGTCGTAAGTTCAAAAGACCAGACAAGAGATTCGGTTTATATACTGCATTTGCTGCAGAATCGGTTTTGTTCTTTGAATCTTTGACCTGTAAATAAATATAATCTGTAGTTATATTAATTCAGACAAGACGAACCATGGAACAGACTGCCACACATAAAGTTATAGCTAACCAGACAATTGTATCAATAGAATGTGAATCTTATAATAAGTATTTGAGCATGATGAAGGTAAAAGTCAGTTTAAGTAATTTTATGATTTTGGATAACTTGTAGTTATAAACAAATAAGGTTATTTCTGTTTATAACGGAGCTTACCACCAGCACCCGCCACGTACAGGTCGCGGCACGTAACTCTAGCGCTGAACAAAACGAGGAGGGGATAGCTGTGCATGGGTACGACTGGAGAGACAACGGCACAACGCACGCCCTCCCGCGAACCTCGCTTCCCTCCAAGACATCTTAATTTTTACTTCTGCGCAATATTTATTAATTTATTTATTTATTATAGGTACACTAACAGAATACAGTCAATACATGTTTAACATAAAATTATAGTTGAAGTAATCTAGACAGTACTCCTTTTTACGTGTACACAACATGATTAAAATTGAACAGTACATAATATGTAATTTATATAATTGAAGGTAAAGCTTAATCTTAACTTAAAAAATATAGTTTTACTTAATAATGTAGTTTTAATTGCTATCTGAGGACCATTTGGCTTTAATAATATTGGTCACAACTCGTTTGTACTGTGAAAACCTTCCATTAAATATGTCCATGCCCCTGTTGCCACGGACATATTCTATCAGCGCTAGAGTTTCGTGCCGCGACTTATAACACGCACTTAATTGGATCCGTCCAAATTGTATGGTGGATATAGGCTATATTAGCCGCTTCCCGCTTTGTCAGCTCATTAGTTCGTTCTGCTCATCGAAGGTAGCTTTGCCCATGTATCAGAAAAAAAAGCCGATATTTGGACTGATTTTTTAACAGTCTACCGATGACCTCTATGCACCATACAATTTGGTCTGGTTGAACCATTTGAATAGGATGTATGTTTAGATTAAAAGTATATGTTTCCATTTTTCTTTTGAAAGAAACCTAATGCAAATCATCCGGTTTTATATTGTAGCAGCACACAATAATAACACAACACAGAAGTTAATCCTTTTATTCAAATGACGAAACACCGTCCAGGAAATAGTGATGCTGAATAATTCTTTGGTTACATAGCTCTGAAAAGAGCTTTCGTGCGAAACAACGTTTCACTCTCGGCTATCACTGCAGCTTCACGATCACCGCATCTCTTCAAGCAGTCGCCGCGACACGCGGCACGCCACTCGCTCGCCGCGCATCGAAGAGGACTCCACACGTCTGCACCGTAGGTGTCGCCCGACGAAATGGACGAATAGGGATATTTGATATACATCGATGCATCAAAAACATCGATGTTTGCAATGAAAAACATCGAATCGATCCGATGTTTTGAAAAACTTTCAATATACTCGATACATCGATGTTTTAAAAAAACATCGAATTGGTAATAGACTTTGATCACGTAGTGATAATATCCTCTTTGGTTTGACCTCAGTAAAAAAAAACTTAAGTTTGACCACTGAAATTTTACTTATTACTATTACTAATGGACCCGATGTTAAGTCAAGTGCAGTGACAATAAAAAATATCTACGTGTTTCTATGTTTATAAACATTTAATAACCTTTGGTTTTGTGAAACAAACTAAGATTGTAGTATATTTCTTATATTCTTTTGAAGGTCTTAGCAAAAATTTTGCGGGTTATTTAGTGTTTTTCAATTTGATCTTTTGTAAAATATAATACAGATTTTTCTTGTTACATGGCTTTTACTTGTATTTACTTTTACCTACTTATTATGAAAGGAGTTAATTCTATTATTTTATGAAAGATTCTAATCTAAAGATATTAAAATTATGGATTAAGGTCCTTTCATATACTACAATAGTAACGTATTTTACTATGAAAAGATGGCCTCTTTTGAGATGAGTCACTTTTCACATAAGTTGGGTTTTGTAATAAAATTTCAGAAAAAGTACTCGATGTTTAAAATACATCGATGTTTTCATCCGATACATCGAAAGACATCGATGTACAGTTGCGATGTATCGAATCAAAAAATACATCAATGTTTTTTCAGAGTGGACACCCCTATGGACGAGTGCCGCCGCGGAAGGCGGTTTTGTCGAGCGACGCGCACGCTTCCCCGCGCGCCGCATTCATCGCGCCGGGTGCGAGTGAAAGGCGCAAACCTACCTCTCCCGCTCGCACATCACTCATATAGATTATTATGAAACTACCCAATTATCATAGATTAAATAATGTAAAATTTTATATAAATATAACATGATTTCCAAAATAAAAACATTCCTTAACTGACTATCAAAGAGTTTAATTTACTGACACCTACAATCGCTAAAGTGGTGACCTCGAACAAGAACACAAGGAAAAATGGAAAACGAAGAACCAGAAACACAATTGCAATTCCTGGCAGACGCAATAAGGACACTAAAGCTAGAAATCGCAGACCTCCGAGCATCCCGAAGACACTACTCGTACAGCCGATACAAGACGATGCACAACGCCCTGCAATTTCATCAACCACGAAACGCCGCAAAACTAAATAACACGTTGGCAGAGGCAGAACCCAACGGCGTCGGAATCAAATCATACCGCCTCTTCGTTACTGACAAAAGCTCAAGATTATCGTTTTTGGTCGACACTGGCGCTAATATCTCCGTCCTGCCGAAGCGAAAAGGAACCGCAGCAAAGCCACTACCGTTCATTTTGTATGCAGCCAATAACACGATAATACCTACCTACGGCGAAAAAACATTAATATTGGACCTCAATCTACGCAGGCAATACAAATGGCGTTTCATCGTGGCGGATGTCAGCAAACCCATAATCGGCGCAGATTTCCTAAAACACCACAATCTGCTAGTTGATCTGAAGAACCGAAGACTCATAGACAACACGACAAAGCTCGGTACCAACGCAATAGGACGCTACACCGACATGCCTACAGTTCGCAGTATCGACATCCAGCAATCTTACCATGGAATACTGGCAGAATATCCCGGCATCACCCGCCTTACTTCGATGAAACTCAACCCCAAGCTCAGAGTGGAACACTTCATAGAAACAACAGGCCCACCGATCCACTGCCGCGCCCGACCCATACCACCACACCGCTACGATCAAGTCAAAAAGGAGTTCGAAAACATGATCAGCCAAGGCCTATGCAGACCAAGCAAAAGCCCTTGGGCAAGCCCACTCCACATCGTACTCAAGAAAAATGGTGATCTACGTGTTTGTGGGGATTACAGACGCCTGAACACAATCACAAAGCCCGATCGCTACCCAATACCACGGATCAGAGATTTTACACACCAGCTCGCCGGAAAAACAATCTTCAGCACCATAGACCTCAACCGCGCATACCAACAAGTCCCAGTTCGTGACGAGGACATTGAGAAGACAGCCATCATCACACCGATGGGATTGTTCGAATTTCCTCGAATGTGCCCAGGTCTCAAGAACGCAGGACAAACCTTTCAACGGTACATCCACGAAGTTCTAAGAGGGCTTCCCTTCGTATTTCCCTTCATCGATGACCTACTCCTAGGGTCCGAAAATGCCACGCAGCACAAAGAACAGCTACGCATCGTACTAAGCAGACTCGAAGAAAACGGCATAACTATAAACCCGGCAAAATGCAACTTCGGTCAATCAGAAGTGCAGTTCCTGGGATATACTGTTTCACAAGAAGGCATAAAACCACCGCAGCACAAAGTCCAAGCCATCACGGAGTACCCCAAGCCAAAGAATGTGGAAGAACTTAGACGCTTTCTCGGAATGATAAACTTTTACCGTGAACACATTCCGAACGCCGCAGCGATACAAGCTCCACTTAACGCCTACCTCCATAATACGAAAAAACGCGACAAATCCGTTATCGAATGGAACACAGAAGCAGAGAAGTCGTTCACAGC